AATTCATCGATTCCTGCCGGTGATTTACAGGTGGAAGTGGGGGCAACTAAATCTCTGCCCTGGGAGAGCCTCGCGTGGGTAACCCACGGCTTGAACCGCCAGCGGTCGGCGTGCTGGACCGGAGGCGGCCGGAGACCTCAGCAAACATGGCCCGAGGCAGAGGAGCGCCTTCCGTTTCCTCATCTGCATCGCACTGACATCCCCATTTCACGGGGCTCTCTGGAATCAGTTCCTGAAAATAAATACTATCTGAATGCCAAGTGAGGCCACCAGTGATTACTAACCATTATAATTATACCTTGTTAAATGAGACATTGTTTTTTCAGCTAGGCCGTGGGGGAAGTGGGGGCTGGGAAGGAAAGTTTGGATTGAAATCTGCTCCTGGATGGGCTGCTAACCTGCTATTTCACTGACGCCAAACCTCAGGGCCTCTTTTCCCCTTTATCCTCTGTCTTTCTAGGCGGTGAGCTCTTTGGGTTTTCCCTCCCAGGCTGTGCGCGCTGCATCTGCTAAAGTCAGGCTCATTTTGGTTTGGGCCTGGGCTGCAATGTAATGCCATAATCAGGGGCTGCAGCATTTTCGGGCAGGGACCTTGTCCAATTTGCATTTTTCCTCCCGTCACGTGCTCCATTCATCTCTGGCAACGCACAAACAACGCTCATAATACCAGGCAGGACGAAGCAGGGAGACTGCTGCCTTAGGCATGCCCCGGCGTCTGCGTTATCTCAGTTTTGGGATATACATTGCTGCGGTCATCCCTTGGATCGTGGCCCCGGGGTAGAAAAGTTGAGGGCGGCTGTGGATGTGGGTTTTGCTTCATATGGCACTGTCACGACCTGCCATGCCAAATAAGTTTCTCGTAATAAAAGAAAAAAAAAACAGCCCATACAAACACAGGAACCCAGTCCCACACTCCCAACTTCCCAGTATTGCTGCAGATCCCTGCATTCAATTCTTGATTTTCTTTTTCTTTTTCTTTTTTTTTTTTTTTTGCAGGCCTTTTGTCTCCAACCTGATTGCAGAGAAACCGCAGCTCGAGAGGCAGCTGAAAAGCCCTTTCGGCAAGATCCTGAATAAAGAAAGGGCGCCTTTCTCATGGAGCCAAAAGGGGAGGAAATACACTTTTTCCCCAACCAGCTGCTCTCCCGCTCCCGGAGCCTCGGAAGTGGCCGGGGACCAGGGCCGCGGACAGATGTTCGGGGCCATCGGCCCAGCTGTCCCCGGTGC